ATCTTCGAAGTGTTTTTGGTGGAGAAAGGCGAACAACACATCAGGCAGCGAACGTATGTTTCTGGGAAGTAAAATTGTGACTTTTGGATGAAGAAGGAGAGAGAGGAGCGAGCGGACGAGGGGTATTTATACTCTACTCAAACATGAGACGATGGAATATTGCACGTGCTACGGGCTGACAGCGTTCCAAAGTTACTCCCAATGATCGCTACTGCGACATCAGCAACGAACTCAACCTACCCACATTGGCGCAATGACGTCCCATTCTCCTTGCCCATGTTCTCAAGCTGTCGCCAGTAACTTCGCCGCTTTGTCAATCGCCTCCTTCAGCCAGACGTTCCACTCCAGACACAGCGGTAAGTTCCCATCTTGAAGCGCTTCCATACTCGCCGGAAGCATCTGCGCTTTATACCCTGCATCTCGTCAGTTAATATCCACAATAAGTCCTTTGCTACTTACCATCATCCCGATTCGGCGCATACAACGCGTTCTTGTAGAACGGCCGTCCAGGCAAGCCTTCTGCTCTCACAAACAGCCTTTGCACATCGCGCATGATGCGATTCGCCTTCTCTACCCTGACCCCATCCCCCAAGAACTCTTTTTCAGCCGTCCGATCCGCGAAGTCAGATGCAACGTGTTGAAACGTCCTCCCCGCAGCCGCGAGCTCGTTAAGCTTGATCTGACGTTGAAGCTCACCGCTATCCGGCCTTCCCATCGTCTCGCCAACAAGCTCGCGGATCCAGTAGTTGAAGTTGCGGGCATAGGCATCCATATCGAACGGGATAAGAGCATCATCGGCTAGATGATACGCCAACAGCGTAATGAACTGCCCTACAGTAGCGTGGATACTAAAGTCTGGATCAATCATACTCTTCATCCAGTGATACGAGTCGTAATTGCTATGATAGTGATACACCGGCGTCGTACTACTCGCATCCATTCCGAAGTCCAGCGCACCGATACCCAGTTGGAGAAAGGCAGTGTAATCGCTCCCACTTCCTAGATTGGAGAAGCCGTTATCTTCGGGGCGGAAGCGGTAGAGGTCGTACCATGCGTCGTAGAGAGTTCGTTTGCCGTAGAGGACCTTCTTCATGACTTCTTGAGCGATCGTGCGGAGCTCGGGGGTGGCGCCTGCGCCGGGGAGGGGACCAGCGACACCGATGTCAACGTTTAGATAGGTTATCGCTGTGGCGGCGAGCCACGGGGCGTATTCTTCGACCCATTCCGTTGAGCCGATTAGGGCGTACTCTTCTGCGTCCCAGGATGCGAAGACGCTAGAGAGAAGTTAGCTTGGGATGAATTGGCAAGGTCTCGTAGGCTTACATGTTTCGACGAGGCACCCAACCAGTCTTCTGCAGCTCTCCGAAAGCCCTTGTGATTTCGATCATGATCGCTGATCCTGAGTTCGGGTCCGCTGCTCCGCCGATGATCCATGCATCTCGATGATTCCCAATGATAATAGTCTCGTCTGCATTCGTCCCGTTGATGATGCCGACAACGTCCCAAATTGGCGTGATCTTGTCTTCCATGAAGTTGGTAAGAGCAAGAGTAGTGCCTGGTACAGGACCAGTGCTATATGTTGCAGCCAAACCGCCAATCCACCCATCACGTTTGATAGACTTGCCTGTCATGCCACATCCGTCCAAAGCTTTCAGAAGAGGTAACGCATCGCGGTAGGAGATGGGTAAAGACGGAATCTTGGGTAGATTTTGAGGGTTACTGACACGCTCGACTCTGGGTTTTGACGCGTATCCGGGAGTTGTTGGATCACCGGGGTACTGATTTATGGACGCAACGGACCCTCGTTGGACGGAGGAAGGCTGGCGCGCTGGACCATCTGCCCGAGGTTAGCGATGCGCACGTACGATAAGCAAAGTGCAATGGAAGTCATACTGGGGTATGCAACCTGTCCCTTTGCCTCCTGCGGCCCGTCATCTCCAGGGTCACTGAACATAACGACTCCAATCATGCCATGTGCTTCGGCATTGCGAACCTTGACGCCACGAAATGGCCCTCCATATTTTGCAAGGGCAATCTTGCCTGCCAAGTTGATATTGGCCGCTGTGAGTGCAGCAAAGTCGTCTTTGTGGCCACGACTATGAGATATTAGCAAAAGTCGTTCATAGTAGGATGATGGGCAACTTACCCAACATAGACGTACTCGGCTTCTACCTGGCCAGAAGCTGAATAGCCATGGAATGCTGGCAACGCTTGACTCTGCGGGTAGCTTGTCGTTTCGTCCTCCGGTAGGGCATCTTCGTACAGTTGAGCCGTGTGTTGAGTGGAATTGCCCGTCTTCAGGACCAGACTCTGCTCTTTCGGGTAATTGAGGAATACTTCATACTCTACAAGTGAGGCAGGTACCCCATTCTCTGTCCACGTCTTCGCGGTTTGCTCCGCCATGGATTTATTGCGTCCGGCAATGTGGTCGCCATGGGTGTAGTAAGAAGACCACGTATCGATAAGAGCAGTTGAGAAAGATGTGTGTAGGGTCTTCTCATTCTCATTCCATACCGGTGGGGATGGTGCTGTCTGGCGAGGCAGTAGAGGAAGTTGTTGTGACTGCTGGCCGAGATCGAGGCTGCGCAGTTCTCGTTGGCATGCTGTTGTCCGTTGCACGGCGGTCAGCGCAAGCAGAAGAGTTAGTATCATGGTTGAGTAATGTTTGTTACTGATGGGGTTGTGCTGCAGGCAGGCAGATATCTAGTGAGTAGGTGCAAGGTAAAAGACAAGGGCACGTGCATTTGCACATTCGAAGGTTCCTCATGAATGGGCAGGAGCAATCGCCCGGTCTCGGTTCCCCTCCCGATAGTTAGCACCCTGTATAGCATGCGTCTCGTATAGTCCCTCTTGTGGAATGTGACAGGGGTGTGTGAATAGCCGCTATGGTGCTGGGCTGGATGGTGGGCCAGACCGGACGGCTAAGGTCGGTGCCATCGCCTGAGCGAAAAATATGATATTGCTGTACGCAGCGTGAATGCTCCAAGGCTCCTGAACTCTTGAAAAGTGAATCAGGAGTAACAAATACCTTCAGGATTGTTCAAGATGGTAAATAGATCAGTCAATTGGTGTACCTCTTACATGAAAATTCTCCTACTATACGCTCGCTTTTCCCACTCAAAGCTCGTTATGGCCAGGTGTCTCCGGATCTTGTGAGACGTCCTCTGCAACCTCTTCGACCTCAATCTTGACCTGATCTTCTACATTCTCAGCCTTTGCCACTGGCTCCTCACCAGCAATCAGAAGGGAGTCAGGTATCTTCTCCTTCTTGCCTTCACCCATGCGAATAGCGTCGACCCATTGCTCAACCTCATCAGCTCCGAAAGAGCTGCCAGAGTACTTCTTGTACCATGCACGCTTTCCGTTTGTGGCGATAAGGTGGACGCCATCTGCACTTCCGAGACCAAGCTCTGCGACGATGGTGGCAGCAAGTGGGTTTGTGGGCGAGACGCCGACAAATGGGAAGAGATGGCTGCCAGAAGCATCGTACTTCTTGTGGATGGATGCAAGGGATGCAATGGCATTGGCTGCAGCCTCCGAGGCTTCGTCCTTGGGAAGGAGGGCCAAGACGCAAGTCTTGCTCTGTTCGGTCAAGCACATTGTCTGTAGTTCGGCAGATTCGGATACGAGAGGAATGGTGGGCTTGGTCTCTTCTACCGGAAGCTCGATGGGGTCGGGTGTGTTCTCGTCCTTGACATTTGGATCAGGCGATTCGGTAGGCATGCCAGCCTCCTCTACAGTCTCATCGGTCGCTGATGCGGCAGCTGACGATGAGTCTGCTGACTTATGCGAAGCTGAGGCTTTGGCAAATTTGCTAGAGGACTTGGATTCCTTCTTGGCATCCTTCTTAGCCTTCGACTTCTTCTCTTTGCCGGGTGGGCAGTCGGGGTTTGGTGGGGCGACCTGGGAGAGGAATTCGACCATGGCTGCTTTGTCGACCTTGCCCTCATGCTTGATGGGGTCCTCGGAGCCGGCGGGAATGAGGATCAAGCTCGGGAAGTCGGTGATTCCATACTTTTCCACTGCTGCCTTTTCCGACTTCTTGACCTGTGCGACCGAGACGATGCCAGCGAAGTCAATCGCTAGGGCGCGTAGTGTAGCACTGACAATACCCTTCTCACTGAAAAGGATAGCCTTGGCGGTGTCCTTGTTCTCTTGGAGCCAGTCGTTCAGGTTCTTGTCGTTGACCCTCTTGACCATGTTGGGAACCTTGTCCTTGACGGCGTCAACGATGCCCTTGGCCGAACGAGGCCCTTGATAGTCCTCCACCTTAGGCTTTCCGGGCTTCTTGCCAGGCCGGACGATCTTGAGAGTAGGGAAACCCTGGACGCCCATCTTTCCGCAGAAGGGCTTGTTCATTTCCTCATCGCAGTTGACAGCGGCGACCTTGGCGATACCGGCGAGGGATTTGGCGGCCGTCTCGTAGGCGGGCTTGAGGTTCTTGCAGTGGCCACACCATGGCGCATAGAATCTGGGACGTGTCAGGAAGGAACGTGACGATGATTGGAGACGGCTTACTCGACAATCTAGGGAGTTGTTAGCTAGTCCTCGCTATTAGATCGGAGGTATACATACAGAAGTGTAGTTAGACTTTGCGATTACTCGGTCATAGTCCATGCCGGAGATCTGGACGACGGCGCTGTTCTTACCGTAGATGCTCTCGGCGTGGGCATTGAGGGCCAGCGCGGCCGTGGCGGCGAACAGCGTGGTTGCGCGGACCATAGTTACAATATAAATAAAGTTGCGAAGATAAAATGGGGACTGAGCAGGAGGGGCGCCGCTGCAGTGATGATATAGCCTCACATGGCGGAGTTGCCAGGTTGGCCTTTTCTTTCACTTGTAACAGCTTGCCATAAGTTACATGGCCATAGCTGAGATGCGGGGAGACAGGGGTCAGAGTCCGGACTAGCGCCTATGACCGCATTCTAGGCGCCTGCATCTCTACGCATCCATCTCCAGACTAAACACCGCGTCTTCTTAGTACACGACATACTCCAACAATGGCCGACACAGTACCGGCAAAGCTCAAGAGCCTGCAGCTCGCGTCTTTCGCGAAGCGCGCTGCCCAGCTCGAGCGATTCAAGCCCATCATCACCTACTGGTGTGAGTACCGCGCGCGTCAACACGAGAATTGTATACTAAAGCTAGGCAGTACGCTTCTACATAGTGCAAAGAATCATCGCCGGTGGATTGCACTCGGCCGACCAAGAATGCACCGCCTACACGACCGACCTCATGGAAAAGCTCGAGCAAGCAAAGGCCGAGAACCCCAACGAGGATGCCTTGCTGGATGACACGGTCGCGAGCGCATACTGCGAACAGTTCGCGCTACAGACTCTCGCAAAGGCAGAAAGGGAGATGGCCGAGAACAGAGTCAATGGGTACGCACTACAAACATAGCCTTATCGCTGCCGCTTGGTCTAACATCCTCCCAGGCAGACAGCCGACACCCTCCTCGCCGCGTCTACGTTTCTCGAGATCATGTCGATATGGAAGAACAACGATCCAGAGATCATTTCCAAAACCAAGTTCGCCAAATACCACGCGCTACGCATCGTCAAAGCCATCAAGGCCAACGAAGACCCCAATGCGACGAACCCCGTACAGGAAACACCGCAGCAGCCCATGTCGCCGTCTGCGTTGGATCCAAACGACCCAGAAGTCCAGCGTATAAACCAAGGCGCTCCACCTCCGAACCCATACCAACCATCCGTAGAGACAGCACCGAATACCTCTACCCAACCATCGCCCAACTTCTCCGCACGCCAAGTATCACCACCACCTCCCAACCTCCCTTCTGCACCTACTGGATACACCCAGTCATCGCACAACGATGTATCTCCAATATCACAACCCGGCACCTCGAGGCAGGGCTCTGTCGTTTCGATCGGCGGTGGATACTTCCCGAGAACAGACGCTCCTGATCCTCCTACATTCACGGCAGAGACGACGGCACCAGGTCTACCAACCGCTCCAATGGACATAGACCCCATGACATCTTCTCTGCCCACGAGCCCTCAGCCACCACAAGCTCCGGAATCATCAGACCCTGCAAGCTTCTATCAAAACCCGGCGTCTCCAGCGCCTGCTCAGGCTCCTCAGCAGCCACCACCTCAAAACCCATACCAATCTCCTACGCCCCCGCAAGTTCCGCAAAAGCCTCAGAGATTATCTTCCAGCTTCGGAGCACCCCCACAACAACATCAGTTTGCCTCGCCTTCGCCACAGCCGCCTCAACAACAGTACCAACAAGGCGGATTCTCTCAACCTGCTCAGCCGCAGTACCAGTCGGCGCCCCACCAGAATCCATACGCTCAACCACAACCTCCTCTCCAGCAAACATCGCAGGGTCCGTTCAGGAATGACGAAGATTCCATCATGGAAGCTACAAAGCATGCCAAGTGGGCCATTTCTGCGATGAACTTTGAAGATGCAGATACTGCTGTGAAGGAGCTACGCACAGCGTTACGGGCTCTGGGTGCGTTATAGGAACGTGGTAATTCTTACGTAGCATGAAGAGGAGAGGAACATGGATCTATAATCTCCGTATCACTTGTTAGTTTGATGTATACCCCTGTGTTATAGATAGATGCACCGTTTTCAAGAGGTGAGCCGAGGTAGCTACAATGATAAAAACACAAGCTTTGATCATGCACGATCAGAGTTACGAACGCAAGCGCTAGCTCTAGTTCCTGAACATAGTCAATCTTGATATAATAATACTCAAGTGAAGATCATCAGGCGCATCTGTTGGCCGTATATCCACAATTCTGCCAAGACTCTGTCGTGCACGTGCCTTGGGTCCAAAGCTTAAGAGCCGAAAATCCAACCACCTCGTTCTCACCCTCTATCGACCTTCACATCACAAGGGCGACTGCATGTAGTCATGCATCTGAGGCTCATCCGTAAAAGCTGTAATTCATGATACAGTGGCGAAGATGGCGCCCATCACACCTCTCAATGCGGCGGATATAACTGAAAAAGCGCGCCGGGAGCTGCTGCTCCTGCTCGAGGGTGTAAGGTAATATTCACGTCGCAGGTCGCTGCACCATCTAACGCGTGCGGACAGATCAGAGGAAAGAAGAACCTCGTACTAGAGAAAGCTCTCGCAGGCCCGCTGAACTTGCTTGTCAAGTTCTCCACGCTCCAGGAATATGGCGTCGACAAGCCCTTCTTCCTTGAGAACGACAATGTCGACTCTTCTCAGCGCAACATCGTCTTCCTCGTCAGAGGCGAGAAAGCAAAGACTGTGATGGCTGTTGCTGGTAAGTGAAGCTCCCTCGGCTTCCTTTCCTCCATCTGCCTCACGGCATTTGAAGCTTTGGGTCAAAAAGTAGGCTAGACAGACAGTACCCACTCTGCCTAGCCAGTCTTGATCCCTAGATTGAACATAGCACTTTTTTTGGATTGCCCTTCATCTCCATGTAGGAGCAGTCTATTGTACGGTGCTAACATACTAGATAGATCAAATCAAACGTATTCGGCGAGACAGCCAGATTGAACATGAATTCTCCATCTTCTGGGTGCCGCGCCGTACTATGACCTCGGACCAACTGCTTGAAGAGGCGGGTGTCTTGGGTGAAGCTAGCGTGAGCGAATGGCCGCTGTTCTTCGTGCCGCTTGCAGATGATGTGCTATCGCTTGAACTTGAAGATGCTGTGTCAGATCTTTATCTCGTATGTGCGTCCTGGATCTGGTGAGGATTTGATACTAACCTTGCGTAGAAGAAAGATCCTACCGCGATCTACTTGTCGGCCAAAGCACTCATGCTTCAGCAACAGAAGTATGGTCTCTTCCCGCGCATCATCGGAAAAGGTGATAATGGCAAGCGACTCGCCGACCTACTCATCCGCATGCGTACCGAAGTAACGGCCGGTGAGACCTCTGCCGGCGGCGGACCATCATTCCTGGGCTTAGCACCTAGTTCCAACATCGACAGTCTGATCATCATTGACCGAGAAGTCGATTTCCCTACGGCGCTACTCACTCAGTTGACGTATGAAGGACTTATCGATGAGGTTTTTAATATTACCGCCAACCAGACCGAAGTCGACTCTTCCATAGCTGGTGGTGCACAGCCTCAGCAAGGTCAGACCGGATCAGCATCGACAAGCATGAAGCGCAAGATCATGATTGATTCAAAAGACGCTCTATACGCCGATCTAGGTGATGCAAACTTCGCTATCGTCGGTAACTTGCTCAATCAAGCAGCTCGTCGTCTGCAGAGCAGCACAGGACGCGACCAGCTTGCCACAAAGACGACTACAGAGCTTCGTGACTTCGTCGCCAAGTTGCCCGGTTACCAGGCCGAGCAAGCAAGCTTGAAGCTACATACTAGTCTGGCTGAGGAGATTATCAAATTCACGCGCACAGATATCTTCACGCGGAGTTTGGAAGTGCAGCAGAATATCATGTCTGGCGCCGACCCAACAACACAACACGATCTCATCAACGAGCTCATCAACCGTGATGTACCGCTACCCGCTATCCTTCGCTTGCTCTGCCTAGAGTCCACCACGAACGCCGGCATCCGTCCGAAAGATCTCGAGGCTTTTAAACGCGCCATCATCCAAGCATATGGCCCGCAACACATCCTAACCCTCGCCTCCCTCGAGAAGATGGGTCTACTAGGCCCACGAGGCGGCGTAAGTCTCGGTGGCGTAGGCGCGCCCGCCAAACCCGGCAGCGTAACAAACTACACGCCCCTGCGCAAGAGTCTCAAGCTGTGGGACGACGACGTGAACGAAGCAAGCCCCAACGACATCAGCTACACCTTCTCCGGCTACGCACCCCTCAGCGTCCGCATCATCCAGTCCATCATCCAGAAACACACCCTCGCCAACGCCATCAAACCCCCTTCCGATCCCCGCGCAAGCGCCCAAGCCAATCCCCTCGCCCAAGGCCTCCGCATCTTCGACGACGCAAGCAAATACATTCGTGGCGCCACATTTGATGAGACGCAGAAGGGCGAGGAGAAGGCTGTCAAGGCGCGACAGCTGTTGAATGGGAGTGCAGGCGAGAGGAACAAGACCATTGTTGTCTTCTTCCTGGGTGGTGTTACAAGGGCTGAGATTGCGGCGCTGAGGTTTGTCGGTGAGAAGTTGAAGGAGAGTGGTGGGGAGGGCAGGGGGTCAAGGATTGTGGTTTGTGCGACGAATGTGGTGAAGGGGGAGGGGTTGGTGGGCAGTGCGATTGAGAAGGCGAGGTTTAAAGCTTGATGTGGGGGTGATGGTAGCCGTGATAGCGCACATGTGTCGAAGTAGACTCTCCTAATGAACACTTTTCTTTGAGAATATTGTCTCCTCCTTTCTATGGCTGGCCGACATCGAAGAAGGGAAGAAGAAGTCATGCTGTGGAGAATGCGCCTTCCTCCCGGAAGAAGCCACCATGTATTTAGGTGTGCCATTGTGCATTGCTTGAGCAGAAGCATCGGCACATGCGACATCGCAGACGGAACAGTAGAAGGTCTTCTCCTCAATCGCCTTGACTTGTTTGGCTCGTGTCTGAGGATACTGTTTTGCGTTGCGGGCCTTTTGACTGGCCTTCCACCCTTCTGTAGGGCTCGCTCTCTTCTCGCGACCGTATGAAGATGCGTAAGCCTTGTCCTCCGCCCTTGTCGCAGCCTCAAGCTCCTCAAGCTCTTCCTTAGTAAGGTCGAGGTCACCCTCAACAGGGTCGAGGAGAGGGTTGTTGGAACAGCAGCTTTGTATGGCTGGCCGACATCGAGGAAAGGAAGAAGAAGAAGTCATGCTGTGGAGAATGCGCTTTCCTTCAGAAGCCACCATGTATATGCTTCGATTTACGAACCACAGTCAGGGGCGCTAGCAAAGTTGCCGAATACATGGGCCCATCATCTTGTCGAGATGCTGATCATGATGTAGCCTGGAGGTAGTCGGTGGGAGCGATAGCCACATAGAAACTAAACATGATAGAGTCTGTTATGATCCGAGGTGTGTTGGAAGAGTATCACAGTACAGAATCATGATAGAGCCAGGAGGTATTCGCTGCTCATCGCAAAGACCACTGGTGGAAAATACGGCAATGTAGTCGTCACAGCGACATTCATAACGATGGTGTATTCAGTGAAGTCATTTCAATTTCCTTTCCACTCTCTTCATGTAGCTACCTCGTGAGTTACATAAGAGACATTGACCGCTGGCATACTTTTGCAGAACATCCATTACGATCGTTTCGTCAGGCATCGTCGTGAAAGTACAAAGAAGACTTTTCCGCGTTCCTGAATACCGGGAACCCATGAAAGATAAGGAACCAAACACACCAAGTCTATCGTTAAATGCCGCAATAGATGAAACTCCGTTCGCAGCTCGCAGTCTGGGTATCCTGCACGTGCGCCCTTCCTTCCTTCCTGCACGCCCTTGTGGCGCTGCTGTCATGTGATGCGCTTATCGGGTGGAGAAGGCCTTGGTGACAGTACGCTTGAGCGCAAGCTCCTTCTTCTTCAGGTCATCAGCGGGGGCGTCCTCAACCTCGAGCTGAGCCATGGCGTCAGAGAGAGCAGACTCGATCTTCTCCTTCTGTCCACGCTTGAGGCGGATGGATGTGGTGGGGTCGGAGATCATCTCCTCAACGCGGGAGATGTAGGACTCAAGCTGTTGCCTTGACTCGAACTTCTTGCTGAAGGCCTCGTCGGAGGACTTGAACTTCTGGGCGTCGTTGATCATGTTCTCGATGTCGGCAGATGAGAGCTTTCCGACAGCGTTGGAGATGGTGATGTTGGCGCTGCGGCCGGAGGTCTTCTCGGTAGCGGTGACCTTCAGGATACCGTTGACGTCGACCTCGAAGACAACCTCAAGGACGGCCTCGCCAGCGCGCTGGAAGAATGTTAGTTGAAGTGCGTGAGTGTTGGGGATCGAGTACTTTCCATCGGCGGAATTGGCGCTAAGGTAAACTCTCCAAGAGAAGTGTTGTCCTCGCAGTTCACGCGTTCACCCTGGAAAACGGGAAACTGAACCGTGGATTGATTGTATGGGGGGGAGTCAGCATGGTCTTGTCAAAGGGGGTATGTCACGATGCATGGGGTGGGGAAGGGTGTGGGTATGTCGGTGTACGAACCTGCGACAGTAGTGAAGGTCCTGATGCAAGTGTTAGTAACTGTCGGCGGTAGATATCGAAAAGCAGATGCGATAGTAGCAGCGAGATGAAACAGTAAAGTTGAAAGCCATGAGATGCCGAGCCAGATAGTAGGAGCTCCGTAAGGTAAGATCGAGGTGCTCGATTTGAGCTCCTCAAAAATCAGTTTCCGAGACCGTGGGTAGTGGAGACCAGTGCGGGGAGCCAGATGGAGTGCGTAACGACTGAATGCAGGGTGCATTCGACAGGTTATCGCCAGCGGCGATTAGTTGTCGGGCAACATATCAAGGTGTTCCTGACGCAGTTTGTGTTTGCGTAGTTCACCAGGAGAGCCGAAGTTCTTCATACAATCCTGGCACCGGTGCCTACCAGAGGCGATGATGTTGGCTCTCGAACGGGCTTTTCGTGCGTTTGCGGCAGCAGGGTCAGCAGCAGTGAATGCACGCTGTCTAGCGTTGTATGCGTCGCGATGCTTGTCCCGATAGATGGCAGCATACCCACGCTCCAGTCCGAGACGACGATCAGGAACAACTGCCATCGACTTTGCACGATATGCGACAGAGATAGCGTTCCGACGCGTACGCACATCAGCATCGAGGACAGCGAGCTGCTGGGGGGTGAGCTCGAAGTTGCCCTTGACACCATCGTGAAGTGCACTGTGCGAGCAGAGACCGCCATAGGTGAACGCATCCATAGGCCATGGACAGCAGGATGCCATACCGTAGTCCTTAGTTCTAGACCGCATTGTCCAGAAGTAGAAGCAGAAAGTAGCTTCCATAGCGAGGAAGAGAAGGCGGAAAGCGGGGACGTTGATGGCTCCAGGTATGGGAGTCGTCACCAGCAAACCCTTGTGCGTGATCTTGTAGCCGTTCTGGAAAGCCCAGAGAACCCCAGACGGAAGGCCGTAGGTGTCTTCTCTAAGGTAAAGGTTGTGCTTGTCATACAAGGCCCATCGAGAGGTCACACCTCGCTTGGAATCAGTTGCGGAGCCAGTGTAGATGTAAGGTTCACAGCCTTTCTTCTCGAAGACAAGAGCGTAGACGCCCCATTGACCACGGTGATCGTCAGGCAGCGACTTCCACCACGAAAGCGTAGGCGGGGCAGTGGCTTGGATGACTTCGAGGAGGCCAGGACAGAAGGACAGTGAGGCAGACGCGGCGATGTCGACGAGGACGGACTTGTCAAAGAACAGAGCCAGGAAGAGGCGGTTCTTACCGGCGGAAGGCACCAGCAGGCAGGTCCAGATGAGGGTGATCATGACCTCGAACAAGGCACCACTGGTAGTAGTAGCCATAATCGAGGGGGTCGATAAACGCCAGTGGCGGTTATCAGCAGATGGGTGAGCCAGAAATCGATTTCCGACACCAGTGGATGAGGGTGGCCGGTGAGGTGAGAGCTGGAAACTGGTTTCCGGTGACCTACTGAGAGGATGGCAGTGCTCGTGATGTGCAGTGCAGACCCAATGCAGGCTGTAATTGAGCCGACTTGCTGCAGTGGAGGTGGGATGGAAGAAAGCAGCAGGCTGACGATGAGAAGACAACCACCAGATGATGCGTCCGCAGGTCCGGGTCCAGGTCCAGGTAAACAGAGTCCAGGGCTCCTGCCAGCTTTGAGCGGCTCAAAGGCAGAAGGCCCTCAAAGCTGGCAGGCGCTCCCTTCACCCACATCAGGGAAGGGAGCGACGACATAACATGGCAGAAGGAAAGGGTGGTACAGGAAGGTGGGGTTACATGCAGAACAGGAAGGAACAGCTGTAACAAAGGAAAAAGTTAAAACACTTGCCTCTTCTTGATAGTCTGTCATCGAGGTTAGCATGTGCGTAGTCAAAGAGCGACGGCAGTACATACGGGGACGGTCTGACCGCGGGGAACGACGGGGGCGAAGATGTTACCCTCCATGGCTACACCAAGGGAGAGGGGAACGACATCGAGCAGGAGGAGGTCGGCAGTCTCGGCGGAGGTGGCCTTTCCGGAGAGGATACCAGCCTGGACGGCGGCACCGTAGGCAACAGCCTCATCGGGGTTGATGCTCTTCTCAAGCTTCTTTCCGTTGAAGTAGTCGCTGAGGAGCTTCTGGATCTTGGGGATACGGGTGGAACCACCAACAAGGACGATCTCGTCAACCTTGTCCTTGGCGATGGCGGCGTCCTTGAGAACCTGGGCAACGGGGTCCAGAGTGCCAGCGAAGGCCTTCTGGTTCAAGTCCTCGAAACGAGCACGGGTAATGTTGGCGTTGAAGTCCTCACCGTCGAACAGCGAGTCGATCTCAACAGTGGTCTGGGTGGCGTTGGAGAGGGTACGCTTGGCACGCTCGCAAGCAGTCCGGAGACGACGGAGGGCACGGGCGTCACCGCTGATGTCTATGTGAGAGTTAGCTTCATCTTCAGAGAAAACAATGACAGCAACACCTAAACAGCGTTACAGCCTACATCAGGCTGAAAGAGTGCAAAGTAGGCCACCCGACGTTGATGTAGGCTCCAGGGTGTATTGCTCATACCTTTCTTGGTCTTTTTTGTGAACTCTTTCTTGAAGTGGTCAAGGAGGTTGGTGTCGAAGTCCTGTCCACCTGCAATGAAGTCAGTGTATGTTTCACATGTATTTCTGCAGCCAGAACTTACCCAAGTGTGTGTCACCGGCGGTAGCCTTGACGGTGAAGACACCACCCTGGATGTGGAGAAGAGACACATCGAAAGTACCACCACCGAGATCGTAGATGAGGACGTTCCTCTCCTTGTCAGACTTTCCGGAACCGAGACCGTAAGCGATAGCGGCGGCGGTAGGCTCGTTGATGATACGGAGAACGTTGAGGCCAGCAATGGCACCGGCGTCCTTGGTGGCTTGACGCTGGTTGTCGTTGAAGTAGGCGGGAACGGTGATGACGGCCTTCTCGACCTTCTTTCCGAGCTTGGTCTCAGCGACCTCCTTCATCTGTTGATTTTGTTAGCCATTGCCCCGCCATGCTGGTGTGTGCGCAGATCTTACCTTGACGAGAACCATGGCAGAGATCTCCTGGGGAGAGAACTGCTTGGTCTCACCGAGGTACTCAACCTCGACGAGAGGGCTGCCGCCCTGGTCAACGACCTTGAATGGCCATGACTTGATGTCCTTTGTGACGGTCTCGTCCTCGAATCGGCGACCAATGAGACGCCTGCGAAAGTCAGTCGGCTGATCGCGCGCGTGCGACGATGGAACGGCAGAACTCACTTGACATCGAAGACGGTGTTCTCGGGGTTCATAGCAGCCTGGTTCTTGGCCGCCTCACCGATGAGACGCTCCTCGCTGGTGAAGGACACGAACGAGGGGGTGGTGAAGCTACCCTGCTCGTTGGCGACTGTGGGCAAACATTGTTAGACAATGGTCTCTGAGTGCAGGAGTGGCGGCGCATACTGATCTCGACATTGGTGCCCTCGTAGTTGGCAACGCAAGAGTAGGTGGTGCCTGCGATATTGTTAGCACACACGCATCCCACTGTGGGGTAATTCGCGAATATTACGCACCAAGATCGATGCCGATGGCACCCTCGTAGACTTCGTCGCTCATGATTGCGGTATGTGTATAAGGAACAACCTGAAAAATTGAAGAGCAGGAAGGTGTTGGAGAGAAGGTGGAAAAGAGGGTTGGGAATCTTTTTCGCGCTTGCTTAAAGGCGAGCGATCAGAGAAAAATTGGCCTGGCAGGGATCTCTCGTAGTGTCGGCGAATGACGCTAGGCAGACTCGGTTAACCTGGCGCGGCGCTTATCGATACTCAATGAAAAACCACCCATCCAACATCGATATATCCTCAAGCCTCGGCCCGCTGAGAAAGAAAAGAGTCCGGACTGTGACATTGAGAAGGTGCCCCGCAGCCAAGATCTGACGGCTAGCGGGAAGTTTTGAGACAAGACCTGCCTATATCGTCCTCAGTCTTGTCAACCCACGCCGGTACACGCCCGGCGCTATCATCTGAAAATGCTTTGGAACATTGAGTGGTACGGTAGTTGTCTAGCAGACTGACCCCAACAAGCCTTTCTTGAAGTTGCGCCATCGTGTTGCCCCCTCGGGTCAAATCAATGGCCGCAAGATCCAAGATTCTGGTTATCTTCGTCGTGGCTTACATCCGCAGGGAGCTTACCCGGTATGCCTCTAGCAATATGATCTCAGGAACTTTTGGGGTGTTGAGTATCACGGTAGGTTTCCAGCGTAGTGGACCAGATTGCTTACTTGAGACGTCGTCTTCATAAATGGACCAATTTATTGCCCTTCTCCTCGTGTCCATGGGTTCCGGAACAAAGACCACGACGATCTTCGCGATAGATTATTTCCATGACCAGCGTAACGCTTCTTCTACCTATGGATACGCCTGGAGCCGTCATACAAATGTTTGTAACCCCCGGTTTGATACTTTCCGATCTTTCTTTCAAGGTCTTTCCAACCCCTCTTCTATATCTACTTCTCTAGTCCCAGAGATCCCGTGCAACCATCTCACCAACTACCACAAACCACGATGCCTCGCACCCAACCCTACTACATTGTCAGCATCGAAGGCAAACTCTCCGCCACCTTCACCCCCTGCGTGGTCGGCGTCTTCTCCACTCCTGCCCTAGCCGTCGCCTCTGTCAAAAACATTACACCACGTTGTGCGCGAGTACCTAATAGCTCTGAGCCCTGTGTTATAAGATGCGTTGGTGACGATAGCGACATCAAGATCGAACTCCAGCATAGCGATATAGTTGGCACGTCTATAACCCCTGCTAACACTGTCTTCCTGGCCATCGACGAATGTGGCGACAGTATCGTCGAAACAAAGATATCGGGCACGGCGCATGATGCGTGGGCAGCATGCGAAGCTATGAAGCGTAAGTGCGGTAACTACTGGAAGGATGAGATAGAATGGACTAATAACAGGGGATGTAAACATGGACAGGCGGAGTTCAACATAACGACCTCTAGCATCCCAGCGGAATCTGGAGACAAAGAGTCACAGCAGTTGGCTGGCTTAAGAACAATGGGCATGTTGCAACATCACTGGTATGTCAAGAAGGTCGTGGTTGACACTTAGGAAGAGTAGGAGGCTGCTTCCCTGGAGACGTAGATTCATGGTGGAAGAGTTAGTCTGTACAGCGGAATAGAGTTGCTGAGAAGGCTACCTTAGAGGACTATGTGAATAGTGCGCAGTATAGATGGAAATGTCGTTACCGGCCGGCATCGGCAGTGGTGAACTATTCAAAATATCTTCTTAACCTTATACTGGGTACTGCTTGTGCTTCGCGTCCATGTCTTCGCCATGCCCATCCTCCGACTGTTGCCCACACCCACTCTTCATTTTTCTCAGCCGTGTCCTTATGGCACAGCCTTCCTAGATATGTCGGAAGGTTAGAAGGTCATCTGAAGTTCTCGTCGCGAGGTGCGCAGTGGTATCGGCCCTTTCCTTCCTCCTTTGTCCACCTTTTGTGCCTTGCGGTTGCGATATGGATCTCAAACTCGGCCTGATCACCACAAGAGTCATTGCATATCGTGCAGTGGAAGGCCTCGTCAGAGATAGCCTTTTGTTGGTTGGCGTAGGTCTTGGAATAGTCTTTTACGTTCGCGGTCTTCTGAGATGCCTTGACATCCGGGGTGGCGTCTTCTCTCTGTTGCCTTGAGTACTTCTCTACAATTGGTCAGTATGGGTGACCGGATCCACGATCCTACATCAGAGAAAAATGTAGTGAAGACTACATGGTCTGAGAATAGTGCGTATGTCGGTTCGAGCACATCATGTAGGTGACAAGCTGGACAAAGTCATAGATTTCACAATACCACCGAGAAGCTGTATTCGTAGAAGCTCAGGGTAGAAGATGACCACATTCCTTGTTGAGAACTTCTGACAATGATACACCGTACTGCTTGGTAGGAGTAGCATCAAAAACGACAGTTTTACGATCAATAGCAAGCAACTTCCACGAATTGGAGGAGAAGTCAAGGCTGGCTGCACACAGAGTATCGCTGTCCATATTCGGTGATCATGAAATCTGCCGTAACGTCATATCCAATTCCATGCCCTCCGCCCTTCACCATGCCATGAACGCCCAAACACCAATTCCATGCTTTATCCTATCTTATGCCCGCCTTCCCAATGTAAACCCGATAATCCATGTCATGTCTTCACACTCAGACCGTCTCATCATGAAAGACAAAGTTAATATCTCTCGGCCGCTGAGTGTTGTACCTCACAAAGTTCTCATCTCCCTGCGGCCTCTCCTTCTTCGTGTTGCTCGTCAGCATACTCTGTAGACTGACGCACACGCTTTCGACGTTGTGGACGGGGGACCAGCCGGAGCGGTCGAGCAGGTCGAGGCAGATGATGCCGTTGGAGTAGATGTGTGGGTGCCAGGGTATGGGGTGGGTTTCGTCGCGGAGAAAGATTACTTCGGGGGCCTGTGGGGAGGAGGGTTAGCGAGGTTTGGTTGGGGGAGGGTGCAGGAATGGGAGGATGGGAGGGTAGGATGCTGGGTAGTAAGCAGTTAGTATAGAAAGGGAACACGTACCTCAATAGGATACTGCGGTGTAAAGCTAAACTTCAACCGATACGTTTCGCCCTGGTACAACGGATTCGAGTCCATAACTTGAATGTCCATGAGCCAGGTTTGGAAGTCGTCAGCCTTAATGAGAGTTATGCCTGGCGGGAGTTTTTCGTGCATCTATACGCCGTTGTGTTAGCGGCTCTGTCCCTCCGTGTGTGAATTTCCATATCCGTTGCCTTCACATCGTGGCCATATTGTGTGTGTGTAGGCTTCCGCGCGTCGATACGTGGAGTTTATAGGCGTCTGACGGGTGACAACGTGCTTCGACGGGCAACGAACAATGAACGAGAGGATTACGGTACCTTTGCGAGCTCCTATAACAGACATTAGCTTCTAGATCCTTTCATATGTCGCATTGCAGTCAAGCTCCATCCCATAGCTCAAGACCATAATAACATACCTTGCCTAACCGTTTCGACGCGAACATCTCGAGATGTGCAGCAGCAGCGCGCCTGTCAACCTGGGGTGTACGCGTAGGTATGTGTAGCTAACAATGTATCCTGGGCGGACTCAGAGTGAATGACGTGTATCGTAGTTTCGTTCCGAGGTAGCTGAACAGCTCACAAGCTTATGTGCAAGCTGCGACCCTGCAGGTGGAATGGACAACGTGTGGGGGAGGGGCAACCGCGCGCGTATCAGGAAGCAGCCTAGGATTCAGAAGCGGTCGGAAGTTTCGTTCGTATAATTGTAGTGAGCGACAGGGGAGAGGCTGGAAGGCACGAGGTAGGGGTGATAGGATGTGTGAATTGTTTGCGCGGTCGTTGCCTGATGTCTCGGTGCTCGGCTTTGTTGCGAGGGTTGGTTCACGCGGCGCGCCAGGGCGGAACGCGGCTATCCAGGTACATTTTGCTGTGAACCATCTGGGCATCCTCGTAGTTCACCAACCAGGCTCTTCAATACTAGATGGCACCAGAGATATCTGTAGTGTATACCGCATTCCCCAAATTCGTTATTGACGTAGGAGTATATATTGCATTAGGGATTATCTAGAAATCAACATTAAACACTGTGCATGTAGCAACACGAATCTGAGCCACCGCTGGCAATGAATGATTTGTTGAATATTCAAAATAGTATTTGATTGACCCATGATATCTCTCGCGCCATACGCCCACCATACCGTAGCTTTTCCTAGCCAAGTCATACACACCTGCAGACGACACTGCAACGAAAATCATTACTAGAAACGCGATGTAGAAGCAAGAAGAATACGCTCAGGAACGACACTCGAAGCCTACGAGTAAAATGCGCCCTTCTGGAAACTCTCAACACCCATATCGCCCGCCTTGCTGTCCACCTTCGGGGCAACCTTCTCTGGTGCCGATACTGGAGCTCCGGTCATGGTGGCAGTCCTGCTCGCGGCGCTGCTGTTCGTCATTGTCTGTGTTCTGCTACCAGCTGGGCTTCCGCTCTGGCTTCCACTGGTAATCTGTGCGGGTGTCTTGCGTTGAATAGGCTCGAGGTAGATGCCTGGAAGGTAGCCCATGCGTCCGTCTCTTGATCTGCACCTCCACCATTCTGATGCGTTGCCCATGGGATCGCTCTTGCTGAGCACCGCGACCATGTCTCCCTTCTTCACTGACAAGTCCATTGCGTGCATGTTGGCATTGGGTGTGAAGTCGTACAGCGCGCGGCAGAATTCGAGCTTGTTGGGGTCGAGCGGTTGCCCTGCCTGTGGGTTCTCGAGCATCTTCTGTTGCTCTTGGGCTTCTTGTGATCTCGCAAGCGCCTTGATGAGCTTGCCCATTAGGTAGGGCAGACCGAAAACAGCGAGCATGAAAACGATGAATGGCTTCTTGGAAGGCTTAGCGGGGGCTGGCGAGCCGTCGGGCATGCGTCCATTGAAGGCTGCGAAACTTGCGGGGGTGAGGGCGGTCGCATCTGCTGGTAGGGGTCGTCCGGTGAGCTTTGCGATTGCCGTTCGTATCCATCGCATTATTGTGTAGATGCCCAATACCGAGCCAAGCGTTTGTCGTAGGTTTCCGAACTGCTCTGCCACAGATACCATGGCTGCTGATGTTAGCATATCGCTGGAAGTTGGAAAGGGGCGGACGTACCGAAGAATGACGAATGTGTCGCCATATATGTGCTCTGAAGCATCTGGGCAAAGCCGCCGAATGCGCCGACAATGTTCTCAATCAGCTGAAAGGTCGCTGCTGTGCTCTGGCTGAAGGATTGCGTGAGGCTGCTGTTTGGGTCGCCCTGCATGCCTCCCATACCGCCGTACATTCCGCCCATGCCCATGCCCATACCTCCCATGCCGCCGTACATGCCACCCATACCGCCCATTCCACCGTACATGGAGCCGTAACCACCCCCCATGCTGGAGTAGGGCGAGCTGTAGCTGCTCATTCCTCCATATCCGCTGCTGTAGGGGGAGCCGTATCGGTTGTTCATGCTCGAGTAGTTGGACGCGTTGCGGTTCGCGACGGTGCTGAGTGAGTCTGGGACGGATGGTAGCGGAGGCGCACTCGAGGATGTGGCTGTTGAGGTGGGTGCTGTGCTGCTATTCGATCCAGTGAGGCCTGTGTTGTTGTTAGTCGCGGCGTCCCTGACGTATCGGATGGCTGGCGGACTCACCAACCGAGGCACTCGTCGCGCCGTTGCTCGTCTCCCAGGGCTTTGGCGGCGATGGCGCAGACATGTTCAAGTGTGTGCCTCCTCCGCGCTATGTGCGCAGTGCAGAAAGTGACTTCGCAGAGACGATGGCGGATGTCGTCAGCAAACGTCGAGAGGCTGGCAATTCGCGGCGATCGGGGCAGCGAGTTTTTGCGGGGAAACTGCGCCGGCCGAGACTGGCAATCGCTCAAGGGGCGGATCCGCGTCGACAGTGGCTGCACGTGAGCAGTAAGTTGGGCGATATATTAGATGCGAAGACGCGACGTTGGGTGTAGACGGTAATGGAGGCGATGAGTAGATGCGCAATGTCGTCGGCCGGGATGCGGCTGGTCGTCGTTCACGGACGCTGAGTCGCGAACAGACCTCGGTTTCTCGTGCCCGCTTGGGCAGGCCTATCCGTCAGCTTGCCACCACCACCATCGCCGGCCCACTCCGCTGCATCGCCCATGTCCGTCTTCAGATGATTATTGCGTTGCTTGTGAGCCTGCCTCGGTCGCACGTCTCACGTGTCGGGACTTCACAAACGATTTTCTTGTGCAATTCAAGAGCACTTCGGTTGTACTGCTAGGTGTATTGTTGCCTGTAAGATGTCTTCACACGAATATCTCAATCCTCCAGGCATAGAAAACATCCACTTCAGTCCCCAATAGCATACAGAGAATGCACCCAGCTATCCGGATCGTATGCCACCAACTTCTGAATCGCATCATTTGACATGCTCTCTGAAAAGTCAAAGTCGTCGTCCAGCACCAATGCCGTAATGTGCGGATAATGCCAAACAACCGCAAACTTCATCTTCTTCCCTACCGGTCTGCTGAAGTAATTCGAGTCACCACCCTCCAGATTGCCCTGCCGATGTATGGTCGACTTTGCGCGTTCGGCGCCTTTGCTGAGAAGCTCGAATGCGTCGAACTCGCCACAGCCCGTTGACCAGCATGAGCAGGGAACGTTGTTGCGGTCGTTGCCGTACTGGAGGATGCGAGGTATGGCTGCATTAAGGAACCAGTAGGCCGGGGCGTCAGAGAGGAGGCCTTGGTCCGTGCCTATGTTGTCGTGGTGATCCATTTGGAATTCGATGAAGAAGGCTTTTGAGGAGCCTGACCAGCCGTAGTGAGATGTCGCGTCTGGCCTCCAGTACGGGCAATCCGCGTCACACTCTTTATCGGAAAGGATCACAATCTCGTTCTCAGACGTCTTTAGCGTGCCTTCGAACGGCTGACTCTCAGCCGCTACTTTGTCACCCCGTGGAGTGACGTAGCTGAGCGAGTTTCCAAATGCACTGAACATGTCAGCTTCGAAACTTATGGAACGAGGAAATACTCACTAGTCAAAAGTACCAGACTTTTGGGGATCACCCAGGTTGGCCATGAAGCTGAGCCCGGTGGCTTGAGCCGGTGATGTAGACGTGTAGTATGCTATCCGCTTCCAATCTGAACCCTGCCTCTTCGAAATGGGCGATGGCGAGGGCGAAGGGATGTCAAAAGGTTGTCCATCTGGACGCTGTGATACTGGTAATGGGTTTTGTGGAGGTGACGGTGAGGGCGAAGGGATGTCAAAAGGCTGTCCATCCGGTCGCTGCGATACTGGTAGCGTCTCTTGTGGGGTAGAAGGTGAAGGCGAGGGTACGATAGGCTGTCCATCTGGGCGCTGAGACACCGTCAATATGCCTTGCATCGATGATGGCGAGGGCGAGGGGAATTGAATAGGTTGTCCATCTGGCAGCTGCGACACCGGTAATATGTCTTGTGTTGATGACGGTGAGGGCGAAGGGGAATCGAAGAGCTGTCCGTCTGGACGCTGGGACACTGGTAATGTGTCTTGCGATGATGATGATGAGGGTGAAGGGATCTCGAAGGGCTGTCCATCTGGATGCTGTGACACTGGTAGCGTGTCCTGTGTCGATGATGTTTCCGGTGCATGTTTTAGCGTTGGCGTCGGACTGACGTAAACCTGCCCATTGGGTCGCTGAAAGATGGGTTCGGGCTCTTCGTTTTCAACGCAAGTACAGTTCGGCTCTGGAGGTGTAGAGCCAGAGATCGATACAGCACCAGACGTTGGTAAGCACGGCAGTGGAGGACCTATGTAAGTTGTGTTTGGTCCAGACTGTGTAATACCAGTCGGGGAACAGGCCGCGTTTATGGTCACCGTCCGTGTCACTGTCGTCGAGACGCACCTGGACGATGTGGTGCATGCATCCCTGTTGAAAAGGCTGGGCCGGCCAAAAGATGTCGACTGTGTCAGCATAGTAGTAGGGTTTGTAGCCACTGGTGTCTCTGGCTGCTCCAACGATCGCCGACGGTTGTAGAAAGGTACTGTAGTTCGCTTCCCCATAGCGCGCGCGTCACCAGGTAGTTGGTATACGGCGAGTTGAGACACGTTCATCGGCCCGCGAAGGTGCATGGACACCTGATCTTGTCAGCGATGTAATAACTGGAGCCCGAGTCAAACTATACTTGTCCGAACAATGGTGTCAGTGGTCCTGCGCTAGGATAGTCGACACGTTCATGACCACAGGTACCAGTCTTTGGATCGACTGTAGTGGTCCGATTGTAGGCACCAGGCTGGCTGATGTTGCGGTAGGTGATGGCCCAGACCTCAGAACAGTACCAGTTGCCATCAGAGGATAGTTCAGCGGTACCGCGACATAGCTCTTTGGCGGTTCTGCTGTAGGCGAGAGGGAGGAGGATGACTGCGCTTAGTATTGTATGCTTCATGCTGAATAATTGAAAGAGGCTATTGTACGAGCAATGGGTTGCGGGATGTGTATGAAGCGTGAAAGAAAACGTTGGAGTGAGGTAGGGTTGTGATGATCTGGCACAGGATCCATGGCTGTATTATTTATTGATATATTTGACTATGGCGTGACGACATCTAGCATGCGGAAGCCACGAGCAGTGTACGAGAAACCGCGTACGCGTGAGTCAACAAGAAAGTGCGATCTGACCGAGGCTGAAGGCGACAACAACCTAATGTAATTGAAAACTGCTTCTTGTAAGTCCATGTCGCCAGTAAAGTATCATGTAAATAAAGAAGTTGATAAGATCGCATATCAGAGTATAAGTTGAATGCACTGGCAACGCCCTTACGGGTGTGCCTAAAATAAGAGGTGCCAAAAGTATGGGTTGTCATCATTGTGCGATGAAGAAAACGGCAGAAGTACATACCGAGTAGTAGATCCAGGAGGAAGCGCAAGTAGAGGTGATCTGTATGTCTATTTCTTGTTAGCACTGGTCGCTCGCAAGATTTCGTGCAGTAAAGCAGAGATGACACTTTTCAGAATAGAGATTTATGCACCGGCGAAGTTCCGAAGAACCCCGCCTAAAATAAGAGGCGTCGAATGCACTGGATCTCATCATTGTGATGGAAGGGAGGAACTGGGTTGAACTTACGTTGGGAGTGAGCTGCTGTAGCTGGCTTAGGGTAAGCAATTCCGAAAAGATATCAATTGTGATCTGATGCGCGATCATCTAGCTTCAACATAGCCGAGACAATCGCTGTTGCACGCCGAGGTCAATGTTTTGACATCGTGAGGTGCAGAAGACGAGGTTGGTCGTGGCAGACTTTTTGTCAGGCAGGAGCTTTGACGCTAGCCCACGCACGGTCCACCACAGACCTAGCCGAGCCGCGAGAAATTGGAGTCTTCGATCGCGAACTTCAACCCACGACAAGCCCACCACCACGTCTCCGTACTAATCGACCAGGTCGCCATCCGGAACATTCATTCAATATGGGTCGTCTTCACAGCAACGGAAAGGGCATATCAGCCTCCGCCATCCCCTACTCCCGCAGCCCCCCGGCGTGGTTGAAGACCACCCCCGAGCAGGTTGTCGACCAGATCTGCAAGCTCGCGAAGAAGGGTGCTACACCATCTCAGTAAGACAATCGCTTGGAAAGGAATACACACGGGATTGGTCGGCTAACACAATCCCAGGATTGGTGAGATCCTCCGTGACTCGCACGGTGTCGCTCAGGTCAAGGTTGTCACCGGCAACAAGATCCTCCGAATCCTCAAGTCGAACGGTACGATTGCCCTATACACATGAAAGCGCATGTCGACACAGCTCTGCTCCTCGTGAGCATCTGCGCGCTATACAAAAATGCATTTGTTGGTCTAGGCTAACATTTTGCGCTTAAGGCCTCAGCCCCGACATCCCAGAGGACCTCTACATGTTGATCAAGAAGGCCGTTGCCGTCCGCAAGCACCTTCAGACCAACCGCAAGGACCGCGACTCCAAGTTCCGTCTCATTCTCATTGAGTCCCGTATCCACCGTGTAAGTTTACCCAGACTCTACCATGTCAAAAGCACTTGCTAATCATCTCCAGCTCTCCCGCTACTACAAGACCGTCGGTGCCCTCCCCCCTACCTGGAGGTACGAGAGCGCCACCGCCTCTACCCTCGTCGCATAAGCAGATGTCGGATTGGTGTGGATGGTAGTCGTCGTGGTAGACATTTAAGTGGAGTTTCACGGGCATGGATGCTTTGCGGATACCTAGCAGGATCACGATATGGAATGAATCAATCAAAAGCATCACCTCGAATTGAAATATACCCAATTTGCATTGAAAGTGTTAAAGTCTGAAAATTGCTTGTTGTAATGTTGCTTGACTTGGGTATCATCCTGACGCCGTCTTATACTTCTGGTGAACATCTGCCATGCGCTTGAAGTCGTCCCATATGGCTTGTCCTTCGAAACATGCTACCCGTCCAGTCATCGAGCTTGGCAGATATACCGCAAAGCTCACCGCCCAAACGCGCATGCGCATGACAGTCTCCTTCTTGTCCATGGGTGCTTGAGCGAAGCTGCTTATGTGACTGCCCATCCACATAGCTACTTCATCTTCACCTCAAGTTTCCTATCCTATCCTCCTCCCCACCCCGTCATCCCATCCCTCATCCTCCACAGGCCCATCACGTCCCCTCAATCTCCCTACTCTTCCCCGCCAAAAACTCACTCAACCACTTCAACGGCTTCTCCGGCTCCGCAGTAGCAAGATGTTTCATCGCCTCGAGCAAATGCGGCGTCACATGCTGGTTCAGATACACCCGCGTGGGACTACCATGTGGAATGGGTTGTGTGGGCGCTTGAGCGGTGGGGTGCGGTGAGTTGCGCGATGAGGCTGCGGGAGTAGGTGTCGGCGCTGTGGTAGCGGTCGGTAGAGTTGGCGCGGAGGGCGGTGCGGGCGTGGAGGTAGAGGGTGTGGGCGGGACGGTTTGGACGCTGGGTTGGTGGGTGGGTGTTGAGGCTGAGGCGTCGAGGGTGGTGGGCTTGATGGGTGTGTTAGTGAGGGTTTGGTGAGTGATGTGTAAGGAGATCTTACCGCTGGTGCTGAGCCTGAATCTGCCATTTCTACATCTGCGGGCTGTTCTGTAGGTGCTTGTTGCGCGTCGCCATTTGTGAGCGCTGGGTCGATGTCGGGGTTTGCGACGGCTGGGTTGGGAGATGGTTCTGCCATTTTTGAAGCTCGGGGTAGTTCTTCTGGATGTTTGACGCGAATTGGCGCGGTTGGAGAAGGTGAGAATCGGTGTTTGTGGCGTGAGGATGAGGAGTTGGACTTTCTTGAAAGCGTCTTGGTAGCTTGAGCTTCGAGCGCGATTGATGTTCGGGCTAGCCTCGGCGTCTTGGAGCTTTCCTTCACTTTTGGGGGTGGCACCACCACGACCTTCGCTTTTACGAGAGCACAGTTTATATACCAGAGTACGTTTTGGAGACTTCAAGGCCGTTATATCAAATACAGAGTTACGCGTCACAGCAATGACTTTGCCAGATACAAGTAAAAACACGCGAACTTCACACAATCCCATCATGCGACCAGTGTTTTGCACTTGAAAACAGATGATATGATAACTATCTTACAAGCTCGTCTTCTTCGAATCAAACAAGCAAGGAACCAGAACGCCCTGCTACAGAAATGCAACCATCTCGAGACTCTCTTCATCATGCATTGCTCGGCCGTAATCCATATATATCCTCACTCGTGTTCATCCTTCATCTGCATCATCAACGTGTGCTCCTACGGCATTGCGTAGCTGCAGCCATACGCATAAAGCGAAACCAAAAAGAAACAAAGCGCAATAACAGTAACTCATAGAAAAAAAGCCGTGTCACGCGGACCATTTAGACCGTCTTCACACACGATGCTCGCATCCACCTATCGAGATCTTCGCTCAGAAGCATACCCCACATTCGTCGAAACAGTCGTCTTCATATCGTTATTCGTAACCACACTGTTGGTATCCCACGTCCCCGCCTCGGAAATAGCCGGGCTCGTCTGTCTCCTTGGTGCCCTCGGCCTCTCAGAACGGTGGTAGGACTTGTTCTGGGACACCTGCGTAGCAGTAGCAGGCCCGTTGTTAGCGTGAGTGATCTCACTGCTTGTGTCCCAGGTGCCGGAGTCAGACCCGTCGTCAGAGAAACTGTGGTGCTCGTGCTGCTTTCGGAGTTGCTCGACTCGCTTGAGCTGCTCGAAGGGGCCGGGTGGGTAGCTCGATGGGCCAAGGTCGCTGAATTGCGCGGAGGGGTAGGGGACGTTGGTGGACACTGTTGTGGGAGGCGCACGCTGAGTGACCTCACTAGCGGTGTCCCATGTGCCGGTATCGCTGCCGCTCAGCCTTCTCAGCTGGCGGTGCATTATGCTTGAGTAGGGGACGTTGGTGGAGACGGTCGTGGGAGGCGCGCGATGAGTAGTGATCTCGGTGTTGGTGTCCCACGTCCCAGTGTCGGAGACGTCATCATCAGACGCGTCATCGTCGGACACGCTGGGTCGTCGTAGCTGTCGAGGAGGCTGTGTGAAACGAGGGGTGTTGGTAGAGATAATTGTAGAAGGAGCGTTGTAGGAAGGGTAGGGCACGTTCGTAGACACGGTCGTAGGGGGAGCACGGTGGGTATTGATCTCAGTGTTGGTATCCCAGGTCCCAGTGTCAGACACTTCATCGTCGGAGACCTCCATCCTCATTGAGTTGCGAGGTGGTGGCATAGACCATCGTTCCGACTCGTCCACGTGTTGTTCCATAGGGTAGGGCACATTGGTCGATACGGTTGTGGGAGGCGCACGTTGAGTGACCTCACTGCTGGTGTCCCAGGTACCGCAGTCGGAAATGCTTCGTGATCGCTTCAGCTCCCAAGGCATTCCTGTAGGATAGGGAACGTTGGTCGAGACCGTGGTCGGTGGAGGACGCTGACTGATCTCAGTGCTCGTGTCCCAAGTGCCAGCGTCAGAGATGCTGCGTTGCCGCCGTATCTCCCTGGACTCTCGCTTCAACTCTTTCGAGTCTCGTCTTGAGTCGTACATGAAAGGATAGGGTGCGTTGGTCGTGATGGTTGTAGGCGCAAAGTCGTGAGTCATGATGCTGTTGGTATCCCATGTGCCAGCATCGGAGATACTCCTTTGTCTCTTGACCTCTCGTGATTCTCTCTTGGCCTCCCTCGACTCTCGGGATTCTCTCGTCAAGTTCGATTCCTTGGTTGAGTCCTTGCTGCCTCTTTCCTTCCTTCTCTCGCTCTTCACACTCTTCTCGGAGTGTCTAGCGCTGCCATGAGAGCCCTTCACCGGAGTGTTGGGATACAAAGCTTTCATAGCAGCACCACGCGTCTCGTACACATAACGAGCCTTTTCACGCTCGGTTTTATCCGAACGGTCACTCTTCTCTGTCCGATGGCTGCGGCTGCTCTTCTCGGTTCGCTCGCTCTTGTCTGTTCGTTCGCTCTTGTCTGT